TCGCTAAAAAATGATGACAATGTAGCTGCGGCCTAGGTTTTGGAGGGGGGTCGCGCACCAGGGGTCCCAACAATAATTATTCTTTAGAAGTAATAATGTTCAACAACATGGCGAACTGCACGCGCGCGCGTCGTTGCGCGCGCGCATGCCACAAACAAAAAAAACATGCTAAAACCTCGGGTCGCGTAGGGGTTCAAAGCCGGGTGTTCCGAACAACATCCAACAGCACATGGTCTTGTAACATCAAATGTCGAGGATGCTTGCGCCTGCGCTCCTGCGAACTCTTCAGAACACCATGCGTCTGTTCATCCAATTGGGCCAAACGGGCCTTTCGCGCCGCATGTCGAAATCATTCGAACGCACCTCCGCGCGTGCTGGGGGGGGGGCGCGATGCGTGTCAAATTACACCATGAGGGCCAGTTTCGCGCGTCGGCCGCGCGCGCATGTCGAACTCCTTCCACAAACCTTCGCCACCGACGCGGGGACGCCGTCATCGTCGCCGGCGTGATCAGCCTCGGCGCCGTCATTGCATTTGCCGTCGACGTTGTCATCATCGTCACCAACCTGGCTACTACCATCATCGTGTGTACCGTCGTCGGCGTTGCCATGGTTCTGTACCCACCCAAATCACCGACTTGCACTGAAGTGCCAGCTCGGATGTGCCCAGAGGTCAGCGCTACCGCGGCCGCGTCGGTGGCGCCAAAACTAGCTGGTCGCTTCACGCGCGAGCATGCGCGGGCGAGCGCGGCCGCAGAGATGCGCCAACCAACACCAAGCACTCATCACAATCGCCGCCGTATGGCTTTCGCAAACCAAACTGCGGATGGGTGGGTGGGATGGTTGCGCGAGCAGGGGAGCTGATAACTCATTCCGAACAGAGACTCGTTGCACCACACATATTGCACCACATCTATTTCACCACCCATATTGCGCAACAGGTTGATTCCTCCACATGTATGGCACAACATATATTACGCAACGCTGATTGCAACATATACGTTGCTAGAAACACAATGTCCGGGGTCCACGCTGAACAATGCGTACGTCCGAGTGATGCCAAGTAAACAACGACGCACAGACAATATCCTGCCTGCCTGGAGTGCGCGTCTCCCACCGGGCGCCAGCGGCACGCAAGCCATGCGGGGGGCACCGCCGCGGGGGGCTGCGGCGGGGTGGGGCGTGGCGGCGTGCCAAGAGGGAGCGCCCGGACATCATGTCACGCATGATTAGCTCGATGGCTCTCTCGAGTCCCTGCTCTGCTCGGCAGCATGCTTCCCCCTTCTGTTGACACCCGGGCTGAACCCGTCCATGACCGTACGGCGGAGTGGAGTAGGTTGGTGCCCAAATACCGCAGCAACGGCACGTCTCGTGACCATCCCACGTCCCCGCCACGTGCCTCTCGATTGAGGGCGGCCGGGGGGGGGGTCCCAGAAAGCCGACAAAGAAGAGGGACGAGGGCAACTCCGCTCAAAATCGCTCCCCAAGGTTGATAATGGTGAGATCTTTCACCCCTGATCCGGTCTTGATGGGCTCAGGGCCCGAACGCGGCCCCTGTAGGCAGAACGAGGCAACGTTACCCTGGCGAAGGACCCAACCACATGCAGGTGTGATTATCGCGGCTGTCAATAGGATCCTCGGTGGAACTCCCTGTAGGGCCACGGAACGTGTGAGGAGTGTGCCGACATGGGTGGGGGGACGCATGTGGACACCACCAGTGGGGCCTTGGGTGGAGCTCCGTATGGGGCCACGAAACGAGTGAGGGGGTTGTCGATATAATCTTCGGTCAAGCTCCCTACAGGGCCACAAAACGTGTGAGGGCTGTGCCAACATGGGCGGGGGGGATGCATATGAACGGTGCCACTGGGGCCTTCGGTGAAGCTCCCTATGGGACCACGAAACGTGTGAGGGATGTACCGACCTGGGTGGCGCGGACGCACGCGAACGGTGCCATTCGGGTCTTGGGTGGAGATCCCTATGGGGCAAAGAAACGTGTGGTGTGCCGACATGGGGTGGCGCAGACGTATGCGAACGGTGCCACTGGGACCTTCGGTGGAACTTCTGTAGAGCCACGAAACGTGTGGGGTGTGCCGAAATTGGTGCCGCCCACGGACGCGTGCGAGCGGTGCCACTGAGCCCTTGGGTGGACCTCCCTATAGAGCCATGCGGACGAGTGCGAACGGTGCCACTGGAGCCTTGGGTCGAGGTCCCTACGGGACCACGAAGCGTGCGAGGGATACGGCGAAATCGGTGGCGCGGACGCATGCGAACGGTGCGACTGGGGACTTGGGTATAGCTCTCTATGGTGGCCACGAAACGTCTGAGGGGTATGACGAAATTCGTGGCGATGATACGATGCTGGTGATGGTGATGGTGATGGTGGTGATGGTGATGGTGATGGTAATGGTGATGGTGAAGATGATGATGATGATGATGATGATGATGATGATGATGATGATGACGATGATGATGATGATGATGATGATGATGATGATGATGATGATGATGATGATGATGATGATGATGATGATGGTGGTGGTGATGATGATGCCGATGCTGCTGATGCTGATGATGTTGATGCTGATGATGCTGATGCTGATGATGCTGATGCTACGGCTGTTGATGATGATAGTGCTGATGCTGATGATGATCCTGATCATGATAGGGATGATGATGATGATGATGATGATGCTGATGATGATAATGATGATGATGATGATGATGATGATGATGATGATGATGGTGATGATGATGATGATGATGATGATGATGATGATGATGATGATGATGACATGGTTCGTCTCGGTGAGGGGTGCGCCGAAACCGAGACAGGCGGAGGGCGGAGAGAGAAGGAGGGGGAGGAGGGAGGGGGAGGAGGGAGTGAGTGAGGCGGGGCGATGTCTCGTATGAACGAGGACCCAACACCACAGGATGGTCAAAGAAACTGCCCGATCCCAGAGTCTCGAACCTGATCCCCGGTTCCTGCTGGCCGGCACCAGTGCTGGGGCCACCTCAGACCCAAGGCATCTCCAACCTCTCGATCCTTCCCTTCCTGCCTCCCACATCCCAGTTCTCAGCATCCTTTAACCGATCCCTATCCTCACTGGCGTGGCCTGGGCCCCACTGGGTTAACCCCCTGGATGGGGATATATAGGCTGTCCCCTGCAAGTTTCGAGGGGCGCAGCCCCGACTGGGGTGGTGGGGTGGCGGGGATAGGGATGGGGATGGAGATGAGGATAGGGATCGGCTCAACAATACTGAAACTTCCCAGTACCCCGACTCTAGAGGCCTCCTAGATGGGGTCGGAGTAGATGGGGTCGGAGGATTGCGCCGCATCACTGATACATCGGCGATGCATCGGCGATGTATCGGCGATGCATCGGCGATGCACCAGCGATGCATCGTCGACGAGGGAGATGCATCGGCGACGTCGACGTGAAGAAAATCGGGCTCCACATCGAGCCGCATCGGCGATGCATCGGCGATGCGGCGCGCTCCTCCGACCCCAGCTGCTCCGACCCCATCTGGGAGGCCTAGACCGACTCCTCCGTGGACCTCTCCACCCTACTAGGTCGGGCATGTTTCCCAACAGGCGAATTTTGGATGACAAATTAAAGAATACCCCAAAAATGCAGAACAAATATCAAACATAGTTAATACATTCGTCCCCAGACTATTGTTTGACTACTCTTGAACATTCCTCCTGAAGACGGACGTGCCCGACTTAATTCCAGTACCCCGATTCTAGAGGCCTCCTAGATGGGGTCGGAGTAGATGGGGTCGGAGGATCGCGCCGCATCGCCGATACATCGGCGATGCATCGGCGATGTGTCGGCGATGCATCCATCGGCGATGCACCGGCGATGCATCGTCGACGTGGGCGATGCATCGGCGACGTCGGCGTGAAGGAAATCGGGCTCCACATCGAGCCGCTTCGGCGGTGCATCGGCGATGCGGCGCGCTCCTCCGACCCCAGCTGCTCCGACCCCATCTGGGAGGCCTAGGCCGACTCCCGTAGAGAGGGACCCAGGTACCAGTATCAGGTCGGGCAGTTCCCCCTACAGGCGGATTCTGGAAGAAACACATAAAAAAATACCCCCAAAATGCACAACCAGTATCAAAAACAGTTAACCGAATCGCCCCCAGACTATTTTGGACTACTCTTGAATACTCCTCCTGTGGAGGGACGTGCCCGACTGAATCCCAACAACCCTCTGGAGGTTGGAAAGGGGTGTGGCATAAAGGGGTATGGTGCCAATCGTGGAAATGACTTTCTGCGACAGGTAACATCGCCAAATTCCCCTTTACAGAATCGTCCCCAGACTACTTTTTGATTACCTTTGCATATTCCTCCTGTAGAGGGATGTGCCCGACTTAATCCCAGTAACCCGTTAGACGCTTGTTCTGGGGACTTTCTTGGAGCCATTCGCTCCACTCGTGCGTCGAAGCTGCGTTGAACCTGAGTCGAACCTGAGTCGAACTTGAGTCGAACTTGAGTCGAACAGATCCATCATGTACACCCCAGAAAGCTCCCCTAAAACGAGCATCGAATGCCCCGACTCCTCCGTGGACCTCTCCACCTTCGGCCCGGGCTTCAGCACGGCCACGAGGGGGGGCGAGGGGGGAAGGCGCAGATCATGGCCGGCGGCACGTGCGCGGCCCATGGGGGGGGGGGGCAGGGACGTAGCAAAACAAGGAGAGGCGCCATGAAGTCTGAGGAGATCTCATGGCCCACGCAATGGTATCCACCCCCCCCTACAGTGCGGGCGCGGCCGCAAGAAATCCTCGCAAGAAAACCAACCCTGAGAACCCGTGCGCGAGGTGCACGGGAGGGGAAGCCTGGAGCACCCTGAACGCGGCAGCTCCTTGAACGGCTGCGTGAAGTCACCGCGCAGCGCGAGGAGCGAAGCAACCCGAGATGCCCTGACGAAGAGCACATGGTGTCTTGCTGCGCGCCCCCACTCTGGCCCTCACCCCCCTCCTTGCCCCCCCCCGGCCGGCTCCTCCGTGGACCTCTCCACCTTCGGCCCGGGCTTCAGCACGGCCACGAGCCGCTTCTCGGCCCTCCTGCGGGCCGGGGCCCCGCGCACGCAGCGCGCCCGGGGGGGGGGGGCCACTCACTCGGAGCGCCCCCGGAGGTGCACGCTCCAGGCCGGGCCCCGGGCCGCTGCCTGGGCATCTCGCGGCGGCTTCGGTGGCAACTCGCGGGGAGCCTCCTGCAGTCGCCATCGGCTGCCAGCGCTAGTGCTCGGTGGCGAGCGAGGGGGAGGAGTGAGAAGGAGAAGGCCGTCTCAGAAGGCGGCGAGGCTTCTCAGAATCCCTCACGCCTTCCGAGAGGTCGGATGCCTTCCGAACCTTCTGCAAAGGCCCGCCCCTTCTCACTTCCTCGCGGACTCGCCGCCGGTACAAGGCTCCCATGATTTGCTACCGAATGTGACGGCACGTTCTGAGAGGCGAGTCTGGTCGTGGCGACAAAGGATGCCCCAGAGGGTCATCCGCCCGCTCCCTCGGGAGGCTCTCTAGCGCGCGCGAGGCCCAGATCTGCTCGGGGGCGTCCGAGAGGGGGGGGCCTCCAAGAGGGAGGGCCGCAAATCACGGCCCGAGGCAAGAGCGCGGCTGAGGGGGTGGGGGGCGGGGACGCATTGAAATGCGCAGAGGGAGCCATGAACTGTGGAGGTGCCATGGCCGCGGCCACGATGTCTCCCTCCCCGGGTCGTCATCCCCATCTTGCAAGACGCCTCCGACCTTGGGGAAGCCAAAAGGTAGCAGTACCGAACCTGAGAAAACCCGTGGGAAAACACTGAAAAACCTTGGGGAAACCTTTTTTGGAAAACCTGGAGACCCAGGAAACCAAAAAGGTATCCTGGGAAAACAGGCGGGCAGCCCCACTGCGCCGCACCCCGCGGAAGCCTCTGCAGGTCCTCAGGCGGACAAGAGTGAAGCGGCCCAGGACACACAGATCAAACAAATACACACACACATTCCAGGACCCCCCATAGTTTCCCACATGTTCTGGGTGTTCCTCTTCCCCCCCGCTGTCCATATGTTCACACATCTGTTCCTGGGGATTGACGATGCATTGTGTCTGTGTGGTCTCTCCTTCCCCACCCGAGAGAGCTCTCGAGGGTGCGCGCGCGGACCTGCCGGAGTGGCGCGCCTGGGCCCCCCCTTCCGGGGTGGCGAGCGCACGCCTGAGGAACAGTCCAGTCCCCCGACATGGATCCGACACGGAGTCGACGCCCTCAACATGGATCCGACATGGATGCGACACGGATGGCTGGCGCGATGGGACAGCCGAGGTCCCCCAAAGATGCAACACTACATCGGCGATGCGTCGCCGAGAGGTTGGCGATGATTAAGTCCTCGATGGCGAGGGGGTGGGGTGAGGAGGGAAGAGGACGGGAGGGAGAGAGGGAGGGAGAGATGGAGGAGGGGGGAGGGGAAGGGGGATCCCAACAGAGTGCCTGGGTTGTGGGTCGGAGGCCTCTTCGGTGCATCTCAGGGTATCTCGGGATGTTTCTGCGTGGCCTTTCCCGGACGGGGCGGGGCGCCCGCAGTCCAGCCACGCTCGGAGCCACCACCGTGGCACCGCGCATCCTGTCAAGGGATGAGGCAGGTGATGCGCCACGCTTCGCGGCGTTTGTATTCGAGTAGGACGCCGCCTACAGAATCGATGCACCCCCGAAATGATGTCAGTTCGTCGAAACAGAGAACATGAAACGTAACACGTTCGCAGGTCTACGAGCAGACCGCGCATGTGTCGCACATGTGGCGACACTTTCAACTATGGGGTTACTCAATTCAGCAATCGATCCCCTACTTGATGTATGAAACGGCACGCCCCCCCCCCCCGTATGACGCACAGGGCACAGGTTGAAAAACGACGCAAGCAACATGTAACTTCCTCTTGTCTTAATATTCGTGAAATGTTGGGCCCTCGTTTCGATTCCGCGTCTCACCCTCCTGTTCCTCCCCCTCCTCCACGACAACCACCACCTCCTCCTCCTCCTCCTCCCTCCTCCTCCTCCTCCTCCCTCCTCCTCCTCCTCCTCCTCCTCCTCCTCCTCCTCCTCCTCCTCCTCCTCCTCCTCCTCCTCCTCCTCCTCCTCCTCCTCCTCCTCCTCCTCGTCCTCCTCAGCTCCGCTTCCCCGCCGCAGCCAGTCTTGCCTAGCTCGCGAGCCTCCCGCACGCGCGTTCCGCCTCGCGCCTCTCGCACGCATCGTGCCCCGCAGGGAGCTCCACTTATGGCCCCAGCGGGAGGAGGGCTCGCATGACGTCGCCCCTCTCGTTTCGGCACACCCTTCATGCGGGTCGTGCTCCGCCCACGGCCAGCGGGAGGGCTCGCATGGCGATGCCCCGACGATTGCGACTTACCCCACACGCGGATCGCGCCTACAACGCCAAAGAAATCAACAACAACCCGGTTACCACATAATACGCTAGTGCGAGGGGGCTCCCCAAACCACTGAGCGATGGATCCGGAAGCCAAGGGGAACCAATGGACTGCGTCGCCAAAAGATCTATCACGCACGTAAGCCTGGCATAATTTGAAGTATCATGTATGCGTATACACAGTCATCGTGCTGAGGAACGCCTGCAGAAAGAATGAGTGGCGCCCTGGCGAATCTCGGCCACGCAAACGTTCCCATGGTCTGACCCTTAGGAATTGTCCGAACACCACAGCCCCTCCTGAGCCTTTCGGCGTCCTGTTCGTGGTCCACTGCCCCAAATCCAAAAGAAATGCTGGTGCCATAGGGTACGATACCAGAAACGCGGAATCGAATACGTGATCCCTCTGTGGAAGGAAGCCGGTTAACGACCGACGAGTCAAACCTACTGTGATTCCCGTAGGTAGAGGCAGGAAAGGAAGAGGGTCGCGAGTCCTTTTCCAGGGCGCTGCGATGGAGGCAGCGCGGTATGTTGTACCAATACCTGAGCCGATACGTCAGCGGTAGATAAGGATAGAATGGTGATATGAGCGGACCACACACACACACCCTCCACCTGCACGGCCACGTGCACAAACCACCTCCACCCGTACGGGATACGGCAGCACGCTCCTGCTCCCCAGTCGTGAGGATCCCACCCAGACCAGTGAGTCTCCGCTGGCTGTGCTCACGCATGACGAACTGATGTCCGCCACTATCTGCCCCCCCTCCCTCTGGAGGCCCCGTGCGCCTCGGATGCTTCCTGGTGCCCCCTCGGAGGCCGATGGGCGCCTCCCGCCTCCCAGGCAGCCGCTGGGAGCGCCACCGCCCGCAGGCCCCCAGAGGCGGCCAGAGGCTGCCCAGAAGCACCCCGGGCCCTGAGAGCTGGAGGCTCCTCGTACACCGCTTAAGACAGGGGCCCCTGACAGCAGGCTCCCTGACGGGGAGCCATGGATGACCTTCGGAATCACCCGGGAGGTTTGCGGATGACTCGGGGGGTCCCTGGAGTGTCCTGCGCGCACTGCCACTGGCTGCTGTGTAGGAGGACAAGCAAGCACATATACTTGCGGAGATCTGCGCAGATCTCTCGGATCGGCGCGGGACACCCTGGGGGGACGCCTATGGCGCCGCCCTTGGCGCACCAGGCGCGCCAGGGAGTGGGTCCAGCGCCGATCCAAGAAATCCGTGCGGACCTCCAGCGTCCTGGGCAGGGGGGGGCGAGCACACACCTGAAGAACAGTCCCCCGACATGGATCCGACACGGAGTCGACGCCCTCAACATGGATCCGACATGGATGCGACACGGATGGCTGGCGCGATGGGACAGCCGAGGTCCCCCAAAGATGCAACATTACATCGGCGATGCGTCGCCGATAGGTTGGCGATAATTAAGCCCTCGATGGCCAGGGGGTGGGGTGAGGAGGGTAGAGGGAGGGAGGGAGGGAGGCGGGGGGGAAGAGCGCTCGCACGCGGGCCAGTCCCCGGGCTCCTCTCGCGCCAGCAGAAGTCGCCGCCATCCTCCGGTCTCCGGGAGCTCCTGGCGGCCTGGTCCTGGCACGGGGGGCGGGGGGAGCGGTGGCGCGGGCACGGCGCGTCGGACACGCAGGACTTCCTGGTCAACGCCAACAACTGCCACCAGCAAAACTGGACTGCGGCAATGAAAAACAGATGATCTGGGTCAAAAGTTACGTACCTCAATGTTGCTTGAGATCTTGGACTCCTTCTGAGTCTATCTGAGTCCACGCGAATCGTGGAGCTGCGCGTCGGGTAGAGGCCATTCAAGACTCGTCTCCACAGACTCTTCTCCTGTGGGGTCATCTCGCGGGCGCACCTGCCCGACGTACTGGACTTGTGCAAAGATCCAGAGCTGCAGAAGCAGGTGCAGGGACTGCAGATGTGCAGGGTCTCTCGGTTGCTGCACGGCAGAGATCCACGACAAAATGACCGAAACTTCCCACTTCTCCGAATCCCACCCCGCCATGACTCCAGGACAATGAGTATCGTTTAAACGATGTCCATCCCCAGCGGCGTGGTCTGGGCCCCACTGGCCGATGTATCCCCCCCTAGATGGCCCCCCCCCCCCCCCAAGATGGGATGGGTCCCAGGGTCTTCGGGCCCCCCCCCCAGATGGGATGGAGGAGGAGGAGGATAGGAGGAGGAGGAGGAGGAGGAGGAGGAGGAGGAGGAGGAGGAGGAGGAGGAGGAGGAGGAGGAGAGGAGGAAGGAGGAGGAGGAGGAGGGAGGAGGAGGAGGAAGAGGAGGGAAGAGGAGGAGGGACGACGACGACGACGACGACGACGGACGACGACGACGACGACGACGACGACGACGACGACGTTGACGACGACGACGACGACGACGACGACGACGACGACGACGACGACGACGACGAAACTTACAACGACGACGACGACGACGACGACGACGACGACGACGACGACGACGACGACGACGACGACGACGACAACAACAACGACGTCGACGGCACCACCAGCGGCGGCGGCGACGACGTCGAGCACCGGAACTGTCAACATGACGCCAATCCCAGCCACACGCCGCACCCATACCGCACCCATTGGGGGGGAGGGAGGGGGGGAGGACCATGGCGTCACCCCGCACACACCCACATCAACACACCACACCCACACCACATCCACGGGGGGGGGGGGGAGCCACCACGCCACGCCCACGCCCACAGGGGGGTGTGGGGGGGGCCATCGCGCGGGGGGGGGGGGGGGCCGATGGCATTAGCATTGCGGGGGGGGGGCCCAAACTCTCGACCATATAGGTCGTTCCCTTCGGGTTTCGAGGTGTGTATCCCCAGCTGGGGTGGTAATTTGGTGGGGGTCTCGAAGGGGATGGAGATGGGGATGGGGATCGGTTAAACGATACCGAGACAACCCCCAGGGGGCGGGCGGAGCTGAGACCGAGCGATCTTGGAACAGCGCTGGCAACGCCAAACGTCCACGCAGAAACGCCCATGCGTGGTGCCTTCGGACCGTCGCAGGCCGCCTCCGCTCCGTGCCTTGGCGGAGGCGCCCGCTCAACAGCAGGCAGGTGGAGCCGAGGCCACTGAAACAGCAGGGCCGTGGCTATAGTCTGCACACCGTCCTGGCCGCCAGCAGAGTCTTGGCCAGGGCCTCCTGCTTGGGGGTGGTGGTGGGGGGGACCAGCCTGGGGGTGTAACCAACCCCGTCCCCGCTTGGGCCGTCTCGTCCGCCTGGCACTTGCCCCCCTGCGCAGGATTGCTTCGCTGTGAGACCCCCAATCCTGCTCCACAGAAGCGCGCGCCGTCACCTGAAAAGCTGCCTTCATCAGACGACCGACCCTCTGACTGCATCGCAGCAGGCCCGCGCAGGGCCCCTCGGAGGTGCCTCTGCTCACCCAAGGCCGCGGTCGCACGCGCAGCGTCCGCAGACGCGAGGTCCCTCCCGGTGAGCCTTCTGCCCGCAGGCTCCACGGGCGCGCGCGCACCCGCCGGACGAGGTGCCGGCACGGGAGCGCGCTGAGCACGGATGGGGGGGGGGGGGAGGCAGAGGGGCGGGGCACAGGGAGCAGCATGCGGATGGGGTGGAGGAGGGGGTGGAGGTCATGATGGGCCTGTTTTCCACCACCACCACCACCAGAAGGAGTTGGAGGGGGAGGGGTCCTCCTCCTCCTCCTGCTCCTGCTCCTGCTCCTCCTCCTCCTCCTCCTGCTCCTCCTGCTCCTCCTGCTCCTCCTCCTCCTGCTCCTCCTCCTCCTCTTCGTCCTCCTCCTCCTCCTCGTCCTCCTCCTCCTCCTCCTCCTCCTCCTCCCCCCCTCCAACTTATGGCGGTGGTGGTGGAAACCAGGCCCATCAGGCCAGGAGGAGGACCAGGAGCCAGAGGGACCGACGTGGTGTTCGCCCCAGCGGCCTCCCACTCGTCGTCTTCTCTTCTTCTTCGACGCCGCTCGTGCGCGTCGCCTGGCGCACGCCAGGGGCCGTGCCGGCCAGGGCGCCAGGGCAGGAGGAAGGCACGCGGCGGATGGGCGGCGCGTCCAGTGCGGCAGGGGGAGGGGCGAAGGCTTCTGAGAGGGAGGCTGCTTCTGAGAGGGCGCCGGCCATGCATCTACGGACGAGGCTCGCGCCTTCTGAGGAGCAGGGGTGCTTCTAAGAGGCCTTCCGCCTCCCCTTACCCCACGCTGCGCGTGGCCGAGTACAGTCAAAGTTCGCCACAGGGAGAATCAGTCATGCGAGGAACGACGCCACGTTGGGGCTTCGTGTGTACCTGGATGCACGAAGCAGGCCAGGGGAAGCCAGATGGAAGAGCCCCAGAAGCATCGAGACCTAGTCGTACGTGCAGTCAACTCAAATAGTAAGGATGCGCGGTAAGGATGCAAAGGTCTTGGAAGGCCATACCGACACTTTGCGAGCCGGGCGCGGCCAGCGAAAGCGACCAAGGATGGGCCGCAGGGGAAGGATACAAGGGTAACCTTGGGAAGTTGCGCATCCTTACTATGCGGGTTGACTGTGATCTCAAAACGGACCATATCCCAACATCTAAGCTGTTTGGGGCATAAACAGACACACTGAAAACGAAGTATCATTCCGACTGATCTCGACCGCGTCCTGCGACAAATGAATCAAACACCATGTGCACCACCGGCTTGGAGCAACAGAAAAACGCCGCAGAGAACACTCAGACGCGATCCATGAACAACGCGGGTCCAGCGGAGTCTAGCTCGACGACCAGCTGAAGTCAATGAGGGGGAGGGAGAGCATTCGAAGGAAGGCGGCATCTCAACCAGGAGAGACGAGCTACTATTCCCAACAGCTTTCTGGGCCAGACAATTCCTCAACCAACTCCCTTCATCCCCGTCGGGAAGGGGAATACACCCATCCCCCCTCCCCCCTGGGTCTGGACGAGGGGGGGGATCCACGACAGCGGCGAAGGTGGCCCAGGATGGGCCCAAGAGGACCTCATACAGGTCAAGATTACCTCCAATATGGCAATAGATAGCCTAAGATGATTCAAACAAACCTTCAACATGTCTCCGAATCCACAAGACCGTCACAACACGGCTCCAAGTCGGCACGAAGCCTCCCAATGAGACCCCCGACAGGCCCAAGCCCTTCAACAACACAAAATGGTTCCATGGTGTTGGCCTTGTCGGTTGGTTCGCTCCCGATGAGCTTCTCGAGCCTCAAAATTTTCCAAAATCGCCCAAAAGAGCCCGAAGAGAGACCCGTCAAGGCTCCAAGACGGTTCCAAGAGCGCCCCGAGAGGGATCCGAGAGGCGATTCTTCCGGCTCTGAAGGGAGGGGCTCATTACCGTCGCCCGTACGCTCAAAACCAAATTCACTGAAAAGCACGTGTTTCGATATCGTTGGCCTCTCGGGGGCATTCTTGGAAGGCTCTGGGGCAAGTATGGCTCCAAGATAGCCCCAGACGCCTTGAGATTGCCTTCACGATGGCGCAGGATGGTCCAAGTGGACTCAAGATGGCCTGGCCTCCAACATGCCTCCACAAGGCATGTATACGGCCGCCCGATTGCTCCAAGTGGCCTCGGCCCCCCCCCCCACGGATATCCCCGAGAGGTCAAACTCCATCAACAGCCTAAACTTGCTCATTGAACTTGTCCTTCTCGCGCTGTTTCTGAGGCCTCGAGATGGCTCCAATACCGAGAGGAAGAGGGACCCACCAAGATTCCAAGTCGGCCCCAAGAACGCCCAGGAGAACACCAAAAGCGTCTCAAGAGGGCCCAAAGAAACGATTCGTCGGTCATCGATGGGGCGGCGCTAGTTAAGGGACCCCCGCTTTCGATCGACGGCGTCCTGGATCAGCCCAGGAGGGCCCCGAAGGCAACAACAAAGGCCAGAAGAGAGCCCAAGGGCCCCCAAAGAGTCGCCTTCAGCAGAGCCCCCGTGACAAACAAGCGTCTAAAGGACTCCTAGATCGAAGGGTCTGCGAAGGCGATCATGGTTGACTCCTGGGTCTGCTCAGGTTGATCCCAAACGTCGCTTTGACGGCTGCCCCCTGCCTCTGATCCGCTGGTTGCTTTTGTTCACTCCTGGAACAGGGCCACTCGCCTGGACATTGGTATTCTGACGGTATTCTGGATGGGCGGGTGCGGATATGCGAGGCGTGTAGACTTGCAACATAGGCAATATCTGTTCTCAACAAGGACGCGCACCCGACAATCACATTGGCCAGCGTTCGACATGCTGTGGCCAAACCAAACGCCAAGATACGCTCTACCCATAGTGGCATGCGGTCGGCATATAGTGTGGTGTTGTACAGAACGCATTTCGTTCACTCACAGCACAGCACGGGGAGGGCCACACATACGCTGTGGTTGGTGGTGGGTGCACGCCCGAAGTCGATCGGCAACGCAAAGAGAGGGGCACCAGCAGATCGGAAGGAAGACTCAAGATTCGGACAATCACGAATTATTGACCGACTGAACCGGGGAAACAGAAGTCGGAGGAGGGCCAGTTGAGACAACGGCGCCCCTTCTGCCTGGCCCAACCCCAAAATTGGCGGCGCGCAGAAGGGGGTGGGCGAAAAAGGAGGAAGCTTCTTGATGGAGGCTGCTTCTTGGAAGGCGCCAGCCTTACATCTACGTGCAGACAAGGCCCGCGCCTTCTGAGAAGCACGGGTGCTTCTGAGACGCCGTCTCCCCTCCCCCATACCCCCTTCTGCGCGCGGCCGAGTGCAGTCCAAGTTTGCCACAAAGACAATCAATCGGGTAAGGAACGGCGCCCCATTGGGGCTTCTGTTGCACCTGGATGCACGGGGCAGGCAAGGGGGAAGACCGATGGAATAACCCCAAGAGCATCGAGCCCGCGTCGTACGCACAGTCAAAGCAAGGGCCTTGGAAGGCCAGACCATGCTACTGGGGAAACCCAAAGGTACGGATACCGCCGTTTCCCAGGCCTCTCCTGGGGTGCGTTCTGAATAGGATTTCGAAGCGAATCCAGCGGTGTCGACGAGGGCCTCCCAGGAGGCCCGAAAAAGAGGAAAACGGGCGGAGGGTAGCGGTATGGGTACCTTTCACTCCTCTGAGCTGCCCCCCTCCGCGCGTGGCCGAGGCATGTATCCCTGGACCCCGCCCTGGGGCCCCGCCCGACCCGCTCGTCTTCGGGGATCGAGGCAGCCGTGTGGCGACGGGCCGCCTCCTGGTACCCTCTGCCCCTCCGAGAGATCTGCAAAGAACCGATTTGGACGCTCGACATGGGGACGGATAAAATGGGCACGTACGATGCACAACAAGACATGTTGCCCAAAAGCGACAGCGGCCGCTCTTGGGCAGGCGGCCTTCTGCCCCAGATGGGCAGCGTCCTCGGCGGCGCGGACAGCGAGTCCCGCTCCAAATGCACAGGAGCTGCTGCTCGTCTTGGTGCCCGTTCTTAACATACCCAAGTCGATAGTCCGCACGAGAGCCGCGGACGGGGCACCTTGCGCCCTCGAGTCCGGCAACGGCGAGGCGTCTCTCAACCCCCTGCGCCTTCCGGTCGAGGGCTCGGCGCCTCCGCGGCAGGAGAGCGCCGCACGCCTCTCGTTCTCCTCGTCGTCCTCGTCCTCTTCCAGCTCCTCCTCCTGCGCCTCGTCCTCCTCCTCCTCCTCCTCCTCCTCATCCTCCTCCTTCTCCTCCTCCTCCTCCTCATCCTCATCCGTTCCTCCTCCTCCTCCTCCTCCTCCTCCTCCTCCTCCTCCTCCACATCCGCCTCCTCCTCATTCTCCGCCTCCTCATCCTTGCCCTCCTCGTCCTCGTCCTCGTCCTCCCCCTCCTCGTCCGATTTCTCCGCCTCCTCCTCCTCGTCCTCCTCGCCCTCGTCCTCGTCCTGCCCCTCCTCCTCCTCCTCCTCCGCCGCCTCCTCCTCGTCCTCCTCCTCCTCCTCCTCCTCCTCCTCCTCCTCCTCCTCCTCCTCCTCCTCTCCTCCCTCCCTCCTCCTCCTCTTCCTCCTCCTCCTCTCGTCCTCCTCCTCTTTCTCGTTCTCTTTCTCCTCCTTCTCCTCCTCCTCCTCCCCTCCTCCTCCTATTCTCCTCCTCGTTCTCGTCCAGCCCCTCCCCCTCCTCCTCCTCCTCCTCCTCCTCCTCCTTCTCCTCCTCCTCCGCCTCGTCCTCGTCCTCCTCCTCCTTCGCCTCCTCCTCCTCCTCCTCCTCCTCCTTCTCCCCCCCGAGGAGTAGGAGGAGGAGGAGGAGGAGGAGGAGGAGGAGGAGGAGGAGGAGGAGGGATGGCGGGGCGAGGCGCCGCTTCATGCCTCTCGTCCACTTCCTCGCTCACCACCCCTGGACCAGCCATGAAGGGGCAGCCTTTTTACCCAGACCCCCGCTGAACCCTCCAGGACAGCTCAGTTCAGACCCCCAAACAAAAATCAGACCACAACACTTCTAGTGTGAGCTCCAAAGTAGCTTCATAACGTTCAACATTCGGCGGTCCGCGCGGATCTCTCGGATCGGCACTGGACACCCCTCCATGGCGCGCGGAGCGCGCCAGGATTAGGTCGGGCATGTCCCCCTACAGAGGATTTTGGACGAAAAATAAAGGCACACTAAAAATGCCCCCAAAGGGTCAACAAGAACACAAAAATCGTCCCCAGCATATGTTTGTACAATCTTCGAAGATTCCTCCTGTAGAGGGACAGGCCCGATCTGCGAGCTCCAAAATAGGTGCATGACATTCCAACATTCGGAGGTCCGCGCGGACCTCTCGAACCGGCACTGGCCGCTCCCTTTTGGACGCCCGAATTGGGTACGGAACAACTGGGCACGCCGCCCAACGACCAGTGTTGTCCAGCACCGACAGCGGCCGCTGTTGGGCAGGCGGCTTCTTTGAAGGGGCCCTGGGACACACAAACAAATACACACAAATAAAAGGGTTCCCCATATTTTCCTATATTTTCTGGGTTTTTGGCTCCCCCCCCACTGCCCATAGTTTCCCTTATGTTCTGGGGAATCGACGATCAATTGTGTCTGTGTTTTTTTCTCCGCCTGATTCGTCTTCAAGGAACAGCGTCCGCGGCGGCGCGGACAGCGAGTCCTGTTCGACACGAACAGGAACTGCTGTTGGGCATTGTACCCATTCCTTCCCTACCCATTTCTATCGTCCCCATCCCTGACGCGCGGAGCGCGCCAGGGGCGGCGCTGGAGGCGCCGCCAGGGGGGCGTCCAGCGCCGACCCAGGAAAGGCGCGCGGACCTCCGAGGCCTCATGCCTGCGCCGACCTGTGCTCCTCGAACTGTGGCACACACAACTATGATGGGCGTGTTTTCCACCACCACCACCATAAGTTGCAGGGGGGGGTCCTCCTCCTCCTCCTCCTCCTCCTCCTCCTCCTCCTCTTCGTCCTCCTCCTTCCCCCCTCCAACTTATGGTGGTGGTGGTGGAAAACAGGCTCATCAAACTACCTCACCAGTGAGGGATGAACAAAAACGCACCTGCCCAGTGTTGCAAGCGCGTGGTCTGCAGGCCTCCTGGGAGCTCCCAGAGGCCAGAGAGCCGCCAGGACGCCGGGCGGCACGCGGGATACGCAGGGCCTACCCTGTCAGCCCACAGGAGGTTCAGCGCACAGCGCCTCGTAAACCAGTGTAGGGGCGTTTTGTAAGCTGACGAACGAGCAACACACACCCATACCCATAGGGAGGTCGTTGGGAGGAGGACTGGCGGCTATAGGACTGGGGAACGCTCCCGTTCGAGCGGGGACCCCATCCGACAACAAGCACCCATAGCCCTCTCCGATCCTCCTATGGGTATGGGTGTGTGTTGCTGGTTCGTCATAAGCCCCTGCATCAGGGGAGCCCAGCGCCGACCCGAGAAATCTGCGCGGACGGCCTCAGCAATTGAATGACTCAGCGCCCCTCAAACGGGGACTCCACTAACGGGTACTTTGGCCAGTGACCCAGCGAACCCAACCCTTCCCGATGTGGGCAAAGCTGCAATGCAAGAAAAAGGCCCTAAAGTGGCAACTTTCGGCAAAATTTCAAAGTACCCGTTAGTAAGTACCCGTTACGGTGCCGTTGAATGACCATGTCCATGCCGCTACCAGGACTGTGGCAGGCACGCCCCACCACGGAGGCCTGGCGCCGACCCTACGAGGCCCGCGCGGAGCTCCGAGAAACTCTCTTGTCGTTCAGGCTGGCGCCTTTTGCCGTTTGCTCCCGCGAGCCGTGGCGCAGCCGCTCCGGCGTGCGGGAAGAATCGGGACGACGCCCAGCAAGAAATGCTGCCCCGAAACTCTCCTGTCGTTCGGGCTGGCGCCTTTTGCCTTTTGCTCCCGCGAGCCGTGGCGCAGCCGCTCCGGCGTGCGGGAAGAATCGGGACGACGCCCAGCAAGAACTGCTGCCCAAAAAACCGTCCGCGGCCGCTGCTGGGCGTGCGCCTCCCGCCTGAAAATGGGCAACGCCCGCGGTGACGCCGACCCTGAGTCCTGCTCAGAAGGAGCAGAACAAGCTGTCGGTCATCTTGATCAGTTTGCCCGTGCTCATTTCGATCGCCCCGAGCTTCTGTCGGGGAGACGTAAGACTCGGGTACGGGGGACTCGAGTTGGCCTGACGGGGCCCATCATAAAAATGGCGAGACCCGATCTGCAATTTGACGCGGGCTCCCGCTGCAGACATCCCACGAAAAACGACACCGCCAAAATCCAGGACGCGTTCGTCAAAAGGCAAACCCGAGTTCCGGCTTACTCGAGTCTTACGTTTCCCCGACTCGGAAGGATCGGCGGCGACGATAGGGGCGAATAGCCCAGGGGCGGGCATTACACGCATTCGCCCGGGAGCCTCTTCGAAGGCATAGATCCTCGGCGCACCTGAAGACACGCGTCGCTCTCCCCTGGGCCATTCGCCCCCATCGTCGCCCCTGAAAAGGACGCCTGCGCCTCTCGTCTTGGACTCCGGCACCGGCGACAGGTCCACCAGCTCCCTGCGCCGGCCCAGGGAGGAGAGGTCGGCACCTCGGAGGGGCCGCGCGGGGTCCGAGGCACCGCTCTCCGCAGCAGCAGGCGCGGCGACCTCGGGGGCACCTGTCGAGCAGCACTGGGAGGCATCAGCCTGAATTGGGCCCAGGGACGCGCAGATCAATACACACACACAAATCATCCCAGGATTCCCCCAAGATTCGCATCGTTTCTGGGTGTTCGTCTCCCCCCCACTTCCCCCACACGCTCCCATATTCTCCTGCGAGTCGACAGTCAATGGCGTCTGTGTGTTTTTCCCCCTCCTGCCATGCCCTCGACGGGCGACTCTCTCCACGCCCCCGTGCCCTCGCGCCGCCCCCAACGGACAAGGGCAGCCGCTCTTGCCCAAACCGAGGCGCGCGGAGCGCGCTCGCCGCCGCACCCCCCGCGGGTGGCTCGGGAGATCCGGCGAGGGCCGCCTGCCTTGCCATGGCGAGGTTTTTCCCAGCGCGTGCGCTCGCAGGCGTGGCTCTGCAGGGAGAGGCATCGGGATCTGCTGGCGGCGGGCAGAGGGGGGGGTGGGGGAGGGGGGGAAGCTTCGCAGAAGGAGGTTGTTTTTCTCAGGAGGCGCCGGCCTTACATCTACAGACAAGGCCCGCGCCTTCTCAGAAGCAGGAGTGCTTCCGAGAAGCCTTCATCTCTGTTCCCTATTAATATACACCCCCTCCCCCAGGCGACCGGGAGCCAACCCAGGTCTATGAGGCCCCCCCACCATCCCTTGTAAAAAACAATACAAAACACACTCTGCCCCCACCATCCCTGTGTAAAAAACAATACAAAACACACTCTGTTTCAAATTCGGAGCATGCGCAGCGAACCCGATGCGACCTCCCCCCACCATCCCTGTCAAAAAAATAGAATACACTTGGCGGCGGCGGCGGCTGCGGCGGCTGCTGCGGGGGCAGCGGCTGCGGCGGCGGCGGCGGCAGCAGTGGCGGCAGCGACTGCGGCGGCAGAGGCTGCGGCGGCGGCGGCGGCGGGCAGCGCGGCGGCGGCGGCAGCGGCGGACAGCGGCGGACAGCGGCGGCGGCGCGGCGCCGGCGGCGGCGACGGGCGGCGGCGGCGGCGGAGGCGGCGGTGGCGGCGGCGGATTGGCCCCCAGTAGCGGACCAGGCTCGGGTGCTACGTATGTGTTGGCAGAGCGGGTGGAATTGAGCGAGACGGCTTCCGGGAGGGGAGGGCGTCTTGATCCCTCCCCCTACCCCCCTCTGCGCGTGGCCGAGTCCAGAGGCAGGCAGAGGCAACGGAACGTAACAGTGAGGCGAGTCAGCGGAAGCTAGAGTTCGGTTGGGCATGTCCCCCTACAGGCGGATTTTGGACGAAAAATTAAAAAGACTCAAAACACTCAAACATAGTCACAAAAATGCTCAACAAATCGTCCCCTTACTATGTTTTGACTATTGTTGAATATTCCTCCTGTAGAGGGACAGGCCCGACTTAAAGCTAGAGAGAGGGCCAGCTCTGCGAGGAGAGGCGAGGCAGAAAGCAGACCAGAAGGGCCGGCCTCGAAGGCGAGGAGGAACGCGACGGAGGGGAGCCGTCTTCGAGAGAGAGAGAGAGAGAAAAAAAAAAAAAACATCGAGCTGACATCGGCGAGACGTTAGGACGAAGCCAGGACGAGGATGAAATCAGGTGAGCCGAGATCCGGCGGCTCTGGAGGATGTCTCGGGCGCCGCGGCCTTCTCAGAGCGTTCTGGGACGCTCTGGGAGTTCCAGAACGCTTTGGAACGAATTAGTCTCGTCCTAGCCCCGTCCGATACATCGCCGATGGATTGGCGATAGGTCCCCGATAGCAAAACTGCACGTTCCTGGGAGGAGGGTGGGCGGGGTGGGCCATCGGGCCCCTACAGTCATCGGCCTGACCTAAGGAACGATAAAAGAGGAACGAAGCTCCTTTTTTTCCAAGCAAGTCCAAGAAGTCCGAAGGAACGGCTGAGCCCCTTTCTAGCGGCAAAGAAGGTCGCAGAACGCATGCAAACCTAAGGGACGACCGAGCCCTTTTTGACAAGTACGACAGGTTCGTGTCGTGCCGACCCCAGCGTTGGTTTTTGACACCGCAGGGATCGTTCAACCTTGAACGATCGGCCGCTGCCGCAACGTCCGATCGTTCAACATCGATCGATTCTGGGTCGCCGGCGGCGTTCAACCTTGAACGTCCGCGCTGGGGTCGCCGCTGGTCGACACGACGCAAACCTACCGTAAGCGTTCCTTACTCAAGCCGCTCTCTCTATCGGCTATGGGAGGGCGACTGGGGGCCTATCCCCCCCGACCCCCCTGGGAGGGCGGCCCGCACGGCTCGGGGCGCCTCTCTTCCTGGAGTCCGGCAGCGGCGGTGCGTCGCGAAGGCCTCCCCGGTACGGCTCCTCTGCGCCTCGTGGCGCCGGAGCAGAGGACCGGACCTTCTGCTGGTGGTTCCACAGCTCGTTGCGGGCCTCGGCGCCCCAGGCCCGGCGGCGGCAGCGGCGACAAGCGGACCGGGCGCCCGCGCTGCGCGCGCGCTGCGGAGGAGCCCGCCCGAGCCCATCGGGGCTCAGCGCGGAGCCCCGTGGCCTCAAAGGCAGCGCACGTGAAACGGTGGAGGCAGGGACACGCAGCTCTACACCCAGACAGGTGCAAGCACGTTCCCGGCGGCGGCAACGTGGCACCACGGTCACGATCAGCAGCACGAGCGGGTGACCACGTGCGTGCGCGCACACAAGCACACAAACACGCGCACGCTGCTTCCTCCAGCGCGCAGGTGGAGCACAATCAGCGGTACGGGTACATGTGAATCCAGGGACCGACCACAACGATGTTTAAACCGAAGTGTCGTTTACAACGAACAACGAAACGAGGCCCAACGTTCCAAACGGACGTTTAAACGAAACCAGTGCCGAACGAAAACGAACGACGAACCGGGGCGTTCAAAACAACAACGAACAACGAAACGAAACAAAAACGAACAACGAAACGAAAAACACAATAAGGGCCCAAACCACGCTAAACCGCGTTGTGGTCGGTCCTTGTGTGAATCGAGAGCGCGCCGAGTTGATGACCACCCTGTTCGGGCGCGCCGAAGGAGAGGGCCACCAACGAGGGGCTGGTGCGCATCCTGGCCGAAGGCACCTGCGCGGGCGAGGGGGGGCCAGCGAACGCAACGCAAGCAGGAAAAGTGGCCAGGGCATCTGGGAGATGCCATGGCCCTGGCCATGGCATCCACGCGCGCACGCACGCACACGCACACCTCTCGTCCCCCCCCCCACTCTGGGACGCCTCCGACGCGCGTGGCAACGCAACCTTCGCGCGCACACACACACACACACACACACACACACACACACCACACACACACAGACACACGCGCGCGCGCGCGCACACACACACACGCGCACACTCGCGCACACACACACACACACGCACGCACGCACGCACGCACGCACGCACGCACGCACGCACGACCACAGACACACACACACATACACACACACATACACACACACGCACGCACGCACGCACGCACGCACGGACGCACGCATACACACACACACATACACACACACACACACACACACACACACACACAAACGTTGTCCCCAAAGCGCCGCGGCGGGTCGCAATCGGGGGGTGCAATTGCGGCGCGCGCTCACGACGGAATCGGACAAACCACGCTTTGCGTAGGAATGTGCGCAGACCCGTGACTGCGCGACGTGCTACATGCTCTGAGCGCGGCGCCCTGGCTTGCCCAGGCGCAGAGCGGAGCGAGGGTGACGCGCGCGCATGAATGCACACGCACGCCCGCACGCCCGCACGCACGCAGGCACCCACGCAGGCACCCACACACACACACACACACTTACACACAAACGCGCACACCAATAGCTCCCCATCTTGGGAGGCCTCGGAGACGCCGAAAGGCTAGTTCAGTATCGGATTTACTTTACTCAAGGAACGACAGGAATACGGTGCTGAGGAGTCGCCTGCGCACCACGCCCCCGAGGGTCTTGCCCTCTCTTGAAAGATGCACCCGCTGCGTCATTGATTGCAGGAGCTCACAAGCTAGCGTCGCACAAGGCGACCACGCAATAGCAAAGAGAAGAGGAACGACATCTACTGATGGCGACGCTGGTGCCGGCGCTGGCGCTGGCGCACGCCGCGACGCTGGCCCGCCCGCCCGCAGATCACTTTAAGTTGCACAAGTATGGAACAACGGCGCTGAAAAGAGCAAGCGCGCGCACGGCCCCCCTGAACTGAGCCGCGCGGGAAAACGCACGGGCCGCGATGGGGTGGCTTGCATTCCGCGGGTCTTTTGCGCGCGGGGCCATCCCGGGACTGGCGGGGGCTGCTGCTCCAGGGGCTGCCCGAACCACCACGGCGAGAGCCCCGGGGCCCCGCCGAGGGGCGGGCCCGAAGCGGGGGCGGACTGCGAGTGCAACTCCGCATGCCGCCATGCTGAGAACACCTGGTCAGGCGACGGGACTCGCCACTCTGCTCCAACCACTCCCCAGGTCTGGGTCTGGACAGAATATGGCACCATCTTGGAGATTTGGAAAACTCAAGCCGACGAGCGAGGGAAGGAAAAACCCTGCCAGCGACTGCGGGTGGGACGCGTTCGAGTGCAGCTCCAGCACTCGCGCTGATACGGCTACAGCGCAGATGCATCCAGCACTGGGAACCCAGTCTGAAACGCACTCCCCACGCGCGACGGGGAGCGCAGGCCCGAGGTGGTTGAAGTGTGAGACAAGGAAGGACGGGCTGGTAAGACTCCCCTTTACCAGGGCCCCGGCTATGTCCGAAGTTCCTGCGGCGACCCCGCGGGGGACATCGGGGGGCGGGCGCGCGCGCGCACACTTCGGCTCCGCGCGGCTATGTACACGGCGCGGCTTGCCGCCCGCCCGCGGGCCTCCCTGCGAGACCGCGAGGACTGCTCGGCCCGGGCACCGATGGCGTCCTTCCGCCGCAGGTGCGGCCAGGGCGCCGATCTCGACCCCGCCTCCAGAGAGCAGAATGCCCACCCTCAGATTAAGCACCCCGACAAGCGAAGCCGTTCAGTAAACGCACCCGAGGAAGAAATCGAAACGGGCAAAACTGTTGAGTAACCGCCCAAGACGATTACCTCGTGGGCCGTGACGAAGCCATCAGGAGCCCTCTGGGCGCGCTCTTGAACCGTCTTCGGGTCCTCTTGGGTCTCTCTGACTTGAGGAGGGACCGACCGTCTCGGCATCCCTGTAGTCCTACACGGAATCTTCTTAGAACCCCAAAATGTTCGAAAAACAAGAACGTTCTTACAACATCAGCCCGATGTGCTAGACAAGACAGTCCCAGCCAGAAATGTTCTAAGAATATTTCGTGGAAAGCACAACGGGTTCTTAGAACATTGTTTAGTAGGCCTATAGACACGCCAGGACGCTTCGCCACTGCTTGACTGAGGCCGTCGCGGGGGCCTCGGGGGCCGCCTGGGAGGCCGTTCGGGCCGTCTTGCAGCCTCCAGGGCCGAAACGCGCCGCCAACCAACTTGGACCCCTTTGTCGGAGTCAGGGTGTTGCTGCGTTTCTCGCCTGGCTTGGCGGCGAGCGAAGGGGGGAAGTGAGAACGGGCGGGCCTTCTCAGAAGGCTCGGAAGTCCCCCGGCCTTCTGAACAGTTTCCAAGCTCTCCCCGAAGACAAAAACAAAACTTCTCAGAAGGCACGAGGGCTTCTGGGAAGCCCCGCCGCCTGTTGAAAAAAAGACTCGTCCTTCTCATTTCCCCCCCTCGCCCGCCGCAGAGTCGCCGCAGAGATCGCGCGCAGGTCGCGCGCACATCTCCTGGCGAAGCATCTCCCGACTGGAAGACTCGAGGCCGGGGCGGACCACCGCCATCCCTGATGGCGCGCCTGTGCAGAGTGCACGCGTCGGGCAACATGGGGGGCCATGAGCGGGCACACGGCGACCACTCTGCCACTGTTGCTTGACAAGAGCGGCAGGAGCATGGGCACGTGTACGTCCGCTGTACGCTGCCCAACTTCCCCTGCGAAGCATAGACACCAGCCCACTGCGCGCGCGCGCACCATGCGCCTCGCCGACCAAAAGCGAGGAAGAGGGGGGGAGGCGGCAACATCGAAGGAAGAGGAGGACGATGAGGACGACGAGGAGGAGGAGCAGTGCCTCTCCGACTCCACCTCAAAACCTCTTGCAGGCGAGCGCGAGGACGAAACTGGCCGCAGACCCCAGCACCCACCGCCGCGAAAAACGTCGCAGCAAAAATCACGACAACAACTCCCGAACCTACAGGGCAGTTCTTTTAATACATAGGATCTTAATCCATGATTCAGTTATGAATAAATGTATATGCATGAACTCATCGCTGCTTTTGATACTGAACCCCTGTGTGTTCAAGACACGATCCGCACGCGGAGCTGTGTATCAAAACTGGCGAGCGTAAGACCCCACGCCCATGTGCGGGACAGCGCGATTCGGATCGATCCGTGAGGGCCCTGGGGCCCGAGACAGGGCAAAGGCGCCTCCTGCGGTAACCCACGGGAGCCTCCCGCACCCTGCGGGCCCCTGCGAGCCGACGTTGACCGACGCTGGCCCGCGCCAAACTCGACGCCGCACGGGCGCCTCCCTCCTCGACTACGAGGCACCAGCGAGCGCGGATGTGCTCTCGAGGCGGAATTCCGAGGACACACATTGGCCCTCGTGCGTTGCTACTCCAGATGTCGTAAGAAAGGGAGGGGGGGTCGCATTTCGGGGGTCTCTCTTCCGGGCTATCCTGGAGGGCCTGGGGGGGTCTGGGGACGATGTTTCGGAGGGTTCTCCCACGGGGGGGGTCTGAAATGGCTTGTCTTGGAGGGTCCAGACCCCCTCCCTTTTATTACGAAATCTGGAGTACCGAAAGCGCCCGTCGTGGGCGGGAAGCGCGTCCGCACCAGCGGCCTCGCAGTCCATGCTACTCGGCCGCGACCCCACCAGCACGGGGCGCGGACGTGCGCGGATGCGCAGCGCGGAGCGCCTCTGTGGGATCGCGAACTTATCCAGGAGGTTGCGCCCCGATCACCAGACCGCGAGGTCACACACATATATATATATATATATATATATATATATATGTATATGGAAATGGCACGTTCTGACATCCCTGAACCAAAACAGTGTTTGCATCTCTCTTGGGGGGCGGGGCGATTTCTACGTACAGTCGAGGTACTGCCAGGAACAAGCGCTAAATGAGGAACGAAGGGGGCTTTTCCAGCCACTGTGGGCCTAGGCCACAAACAGATGCCGCGACATAAATCTGAGGAACGACCCGCACCCCCGAGCCCCTTCCGAACCCAAAGCGGGCCTTGTTTCAGCGTCTTCACTGTACTTGCGCGGGGTGAGCCGCCGCCGATTTCTTTCCTCCAGTCTCCGCTGAGCTTGCGCTGCTCGTCGCCGAGGAAGGAGCGCTTACCAGCAAGCTGCTGCAATAGGGAACACATGGG